TCTCTGCTTCACAAGCAAGCCTCACTCTCAAAAGCTCATCATCTTCAGAAATTCCTACGAAGCATCATCATCTTGAAATGAATACCTCACTGAATCAAATATCCCTTGAACTCACTCTCGCACCTCCGTCAGCACCACAAAGAAGAGCTTCAAATACCTCACCAGATTATAAGTTCATTGATATTGAATCACACATCTATCTGGCAGGGGAAAAGGAGTTATTATTTCAAGAACGACTGCAAGTGCTATTATTGCATGAACTCGTCCTCAATGCACCTAGAATGGTTGATAAAGAAAGGTTTTCTCTAGGTTGGCTAAAAACACATAACATTGAGATTGCACTCTCAATGGAACTTATTAACACAGCCTATCATTCCAAACGTCTTCACCTCGAGGAAGCATGTGAGGGACGTAAAAAGAGGAAGGTAGCCGACATCCTCCGTGGAAGACACCAGGAGTAGATAGTTGTTGCTGCCCAAAAGGGGGGAAATAGAAACAAACACTTAGGATAATTTTTTCCATCATTTAGTGTTTGTATTCTAGTTTTTGGCATCATCAAAAAGGGGGAAATTGTTAGGTCCCCTAGATTTTGATTATCATATATTGTTTTGATGATGCCACCCCTTTTTATAATATCCCAGTAATAGACTAGAGCTTGTATTTGTTATGCTACTATTTATTGTAATGTGCTCCATAGTGATAAAATACTCAAGAAAAATAGAGAGTACTAAAAAGAGAAGAAACGTACCATAAAACAAAAAGAAAAGGTACGAAAAGACTCAACTGAAACCCTTAAAGAATCGATACTTAAAAAGATCATCTCATGATCTTCTGTTATGTTCATATCAGAGAACCTCAACAGAAGAGGTGGTTCTCTGATTAACACCAGACCAGAGAACCTCTTGGTCGTGCCAGAGAACCTCAACAGAAGAGGTGGTTCTCTGATAACACCAGAGCAGAAGACCTTATAGGTATTCTGATTGAGTACTCGATATCTGTTATTCTTCTCTTAGCACCTCACAAGAAGACAGAAGACCCACTTACAGTCAAAATGACAAAATGTATAGAAAATAATGTTACAAGAAATTATGTAATAAAATTTCTTATAACATTATTTACTAAAAGCAAGTAATCCTATCATGAGGAAGCATTGAACAACACTCAGACTAGATCCTGAATTTCTACAAGCTAAAGAGATAAAGATAAATCATCTTATCTTTGCCTAGAAATGAGGAATCAAGTTGAGTGAGGATAAAATGATTTGTGTCACAAGAAGACAAGAATAAACCATGTTGCCCCAGTCAAGTGGAACAAAGCAAGTAGATCAAGCAACGATCAAGATTGAATCACTCAGTCTACGGAGGAGATTCAACAACAAAGTCTATAAATACAGAGGGAGTGCGGGAAGACCAAGTGTGGCACCAGATGGCAACAAACCCTGGTATATTGGAACCCAGTGGAACCGAAGGGAGTCAAGGAATACATGAACACATCAAGCTGGCCGATTCACCTTCACCACTCTGGTTACCACCCCACTCATTTAATGCTCTTAGAATAGTTCATCATTCATATACATCTATAGAGCTTAGATTAGTTGGTAGACTAGTTTAAACCCATGTAAACTATCCTAGTGTATATATTCTGGATGTGTTGTGATCATCCAGAAGGTGAGGCAAGGACATGAGTAGCTCTTGGCTGGGCAACCCATCAGTAAAAAACCTTGGAGGACATGAGTAGCTTGGAACAGTCTGGTTCCTCGTGAAAAACCTCACAATCTACGCCCGGTCCAGGGGTAGATTGGGCACTAAATGTAATGGTATATTCATTTAGTGGAAATCAATCTGAAATAGGTTGGGACTGGATGTAGTAGGATTACACCACCTCTGAACCGGGATATATCTAGTGTACCTTTTACATTCAGCACCCAACACATACTTCAGTTCTCACTCACCTTCATACTATTCCAAAAGCTTGCATATTCACTTTCCAGAAAACTAACTAAAGTTTTCCGTGAATCAAAACTCCTTACCTACGTACTTCAAACAGATCTATATCAATAGGTCTAAATCCTTCACACAAAGGTGTTCTGTCCACCCATCTCTGAAACAACAAAAGGGTCATAACCTTTGTTCCTATAAAGTGTCACGCTATTGAGATTAAGACTTCCGCTGTATGTTTCAATATCTCCCAAAAGATATTGGAACACATTCTGTTTGAGGAAAAAGGGTTGAAAAAGAAAAGATTTTTATAAGTCTTTTCACCCCCCCTCTAGACTTCTACCTCACTTGGGACCATCATCTTCAAGTTTCGTCCTTGGACTGGGGAAGAAAACGAATGCGCTAAATAGATACGATCTCAGTCGAAGGGGAGGATATCCATAGATATCCGATGCCAGATACTAGCGACCGACAAGACTTCCTTCAGCCCACAGAGATATCCGTTGGATTCTGTCTCTTGCTTGAGAAAGAACGAGAGAAGAATACCTGGAAGTAACGTGTACAAACAAATGGCTTTGAGGTTTTGTGTAGAGTTCCAATCAAATACCTGTTGTAGTGTGTGCTTCTGGAGGTCGTGTGGCTGATGGACGTCCACTTGCAGCTGCGAACTTCCAACGCCGGGTCGGAGGCGACAGGGATGGTGTAGTCAGAAATTCGTCGGGAAGATGGTCGGACCTGGGCACCTGGCAGATTTTGAATGGTGCAGTTTGCTTGATACTGAGGTTCTGAATTTGCTTGAACTAAGGTTCTGAATAGAGGTTCTGTTTAATGGTGATGGTGTGTAGAGAGGTTCTGTCCTGGACTGAGTTTCTGGGAGACAAAATGGTACCTAGAAGTTCTGAACTCAGGCTCTCGGAGAAAGACCAGAGTTTGAAAACTAAGCTGAAATCTGAAAAATAAACTCAAATGGATGGCTCTGATACCATGTTGAAATATAAACTAGAATAATAATGATGATAGTAATAATGGGGAGAGGAGAAAGGAATTTTCTGTGTATTTCATTGGAGGGTTAAGTCCATATATATATACATTACAAAGATAGAATATTCCTATAAGATTCTATACAATAACAATATCCTAGAGTATATTCCTAAAATATTCTAAAGCATATTCAAAAGATAGAAGAATATTCTAAAGCATATTATAAAGTATATTCTAATGTCTTTCACAATTTGAATGCTCAAAATTGATGTCATAAACTGACCTTGTATTGTTCTCATTATATATTTGAATTGTTGAGATATGAAATAACTATTTAAATAGCTTAGTATTATTGGTGATAATTGATATCATGCAATTCTTTTTCCTATTTTAAATTTGAAAATTGACTCGAATAATTGTAGAAAATATATAATTATCATTAACTTTATTTTCAATATCATGTCATAGATGTATTATTTAGTTTAAAAATTGACACCACTCAATTGACTTGCTGGCTCCATCCCTACTGAAGTGGTTGAGATGATATTGATATTGATATTGATTATGCTTATGAATAAGTAATCACTTTAGTGGTGACAAACTTTGCCTGAAGGAGCAAAAGCATATCAAAAGAGCATATCTAAACGCTCCGTAGTTAACAACAATTCTCCTATCAGCGTTGAAAAGAGACAACTTATCTTATTTAGGCCGTCACAAGTTACTTATGAGGCTATGAATCACCAAGAAATAAAATCATTTAGGGACTTTTTGTCGAAAGAATGAAAATACAGATAAACTTACTCACAAATCTTTTGAGGTTTTGAAAATTATTATATGTAAAATTAACGTAAATGGAACTTTTCAATAATTAGTAATTATTGAAGCATGAAAACCGTGTTTTTGAAAACAATCACTGATTGCATAAGCTAGACTTATAAATAATATCCTCAAAAAACACCTATGTTCAACACAATTGTGTCTTTTTCTACTTAACAAAACTGATTTGAGGGATTTTCTACTTCTAGTCTGCATTATAGTGTCAATAGACTCAATACTTGTATAATACAATAGATATTAAATCAAAATATCATGTTCTAATCATCAAAGAATAGAACCTTTAATGATATTATATTTACAGAAAAATAATTATTGTTTGTTTTTCAAAATTTTCACATGTCAATAAATCTAATAATTCAAGAAAACAAAAAGATTCCATGGACATAGAAGTACCTGTTGTTCAACGAAGCTTGAATAGAAATAGAAATAAAGAAAGCCTTCATCAAAAACTGAAAACACACAAGTGGCAATTCATTAGAAAAAAGTAGGATTACTAATTTAGTACACAATCTGTCATCTGTTGTATTGATGATCTTTTTGCAGCTTATTGGATGATCCTTTTGCGGATACTTACCTATAAAAACACTCGCTTACGGTCCACTCTACTTGAGATGATTTGTACATATGAGTTTTTAGCATGGCATTATTCCAGGAATTGTTTTTTAATTATGACATGCTTTTTATCTCATCCTCATTTTGCGTGACCACCTGTTGTGCTAAAATATGTTTTACCCTAAAACTTACGGACATCTAATAATTTAAAATATGCATTTAGAAAATCAGTTCGAGATAAAAATAAAGGACATCTAAAGAGTGAAAATGTCATCATTATAAGTAGTTGTGCCATTAATGGTGCATTTGGCTTTTTCTCTCCAGCCGTGTGCAATTACATTGAAACACTACCGCCATTAATTTCTTTTTGGTCCATTTATTTATTTATTAAACACTTAACTAATACTATCGTAGTTTGTATAGCAATTGGACACCCCAATTGCTACATTTCCCCACCCAAATTGTTGGCGTTTATATATATATATATATAGATAGATTGAAACAACCATCACACATCAAACAAACAACACTTTTATCACAATTCTAATAGATGCAATGGTTTTTTATATATTTCCTACCGGATGCATTTGAAAATGCTTTGAAGTGTGATAATCCCTAGTTTTTGCTATCAATTAAGAATTGAAGAGTTTTGCAATATAAGATGGCTTTTCTTGCAAAAAAAGATTCACGGCCCCTACATATAAGAATGTGTCAAACGCCGCTGTAGCAATCAAAGCCCTAACGTGCAGTCAATGTTGAAGCATGCTACCGGTCTTGCTCTTGCCAATTCGACCATCACCTTGTCTTCATCAACCCCCACAAAAATTGGCACTCTCTCAGTGCGATTCTTGGCTACTTCATACACAGAGATATCATCTCCCGCCACACATTCTTCACAAGACTCAGATTTCCGATCTCAAGTGCCACTTGATCCTGCATCAGTGGGTGTTGTCCAGGACAAGGACCTTCTCAGAAAGACTCCTGATGGAGAGATTCTATTCCTTAAACTCCTCGACAGGGGTGCAATGGAAGCAGATGCCAGTCTATATCACAAACTCTTCAAAATCTGTGCGGATTACAAAAGACCGAAAGAAGGCAGACTTGTTCACAACCATTTCCTTCGTTCCAGGTTCAACCATGACGTTGTGCCTTACAATACGTTAATTAACATGTATTCTAAGTGCCACTGTATAGAGGAGGCTCAAAAGGTGTTTGATGAAATGCCCAAAAGAGATATGGTGTCTTGGGCTACACTGATCACTGGATATTCGCAAAATGAGAGATATGTTCAGGCATTGACTACTTTTCGTGAGATGCTAAGGGCTGGATTCAATCCTAACCAATTCACTTTTGGGAGCATTCTCAAGTCGGCTGGTTCTGACACCACTGATATTGTGATGGGCAGACAAATACATGATTTTAGTTTGAAACAGGGGTTTGAGGAGAGTGTTTATGTGGGAAGCGCTCTTATAGATATGTACGCCAGTTGTGGAGAGTTGGATGAAGCCATGTTAGTCTTTCAGGCCATGAGGGTCAAGAATGAGGTTTCTTGGAATGCTTTGATTTCAGGGCATGCTAGGAAAGGGGAGGGAGAAAATGCTTTGAATCTTTTCTTGGATATGAAAAGATCCAGGTTTGTCCCAACCCATTATACATTTTCAAGCCTTTTCACTGCCTGTGCTTCTACTGGAGCTTTGGAGCAGGGAAAGTGGCTCCACGGGCATATGATCAAATCAGGCTTGCAACTCGTAGGTTTTCTCGCCAACACTCTGCTGAATATGTATGCCAAGTCGGGTAGCATTGAAGATTCCAAAAAAGTTTTCAAACGAATGGTGAAAAGAAATATAGTTTCGTGGAATTCAATGCTTACCGCCTCTGCCCAACATGGACTGGGGAATGAGACTGTAGCACTCTTTGAGGAAATGCTTATAGCTGGTTATGAACCAAACGGGGTGACCTTCCTCTCTGTCCTCACCGCTTGTAGCAGGTCTGGCCTTTTAGACAAAGGAATGCATTATTTTGAATTAATGAATACATTAAAGGCCGAACGTGAAATTTCACATTTCGTGACGATTGTTGACCTACTTGGCCGATCAGGTCAACTCGACCGTGCCCGAAGGTTCATAAATGATATGCCTGTTGAACCCACAGCCGAAATCTGGAAAGCATTGTTAGGGGCATGTAGAAAGCACAAGAACATGGAGTTGGGCGTCTTTGCTGCAGAGCGGGTCTTTGAACTCGATCCATACGACTCTGGGCCCCACGTCTTGCTGTCCAATATCTATGCTTCAGCTGGAAGGTTGAGTGATGCGGCAAAAGTGAGAAAGGCGATGAACGAGACTGGAGTAAAGAAAGAACCTGCATGCAGTTGGTTGGAGATTGAGAATTCTGTTCATGTGTTTGTGGCAAATGACGAGTTCCATCCATATAGAAAGGAGATGAGAAAAAAGTGGAATGAGATATATGAGGAGATTAAGAAAATTGGGTATGTGCCCGATACAAGCAATGCCCTTTGGTTTGTGGACCAAAGGGAAAGAGAGGAAAGGTTGCAAGATCACAGCGAGAAACTGGCTTTAGCTTTTGGGATTCTAAACACTCCGCCCGGTTCAACAATACGGATAAAGAAGAACATTAGGGTTTGTAGTGATTGCCATACTGCTTTTAAGTTCGTTTCAGTGGTGGTTGATAGAGAAATCATTTTGAGAGACACCAACCGGTTCCATCACTTCTGCAATGGTGCTTGTTCATGCAGTGACTACTGGTAACATCACAAAGTTATAGCTTTTATGGAACAATATTTAAGTTTGTTTCTGTGGTGGTTAACAGAGAAATCATCTCCAGATACAATAGTTTTCTTCCAGCAGTGTTGGTTGTCGTTTATTATGCAAGTGGGCTTAATAGGCAAGCAGATCTTTTCTTATACTGAAAATGTTCTCGATTTGTTTGTTGCGACTACAAGTGTTTTCTTACTTGGTTGGTCATGGAAATGTCATTATTGGATCTTTGCTTGGTGGCTCACTTTTAAGTCTCGATATCGAGAAGATATTGCCATCACCGGGTTGTACTTGAGAGATGCTCCTGGTCAGTTCCATTGCAAAGAGATAAAAAAAACTTCATATTTTGAGGCTAGATGACCATATCCTGACGAGAGAATACTATAAATTTGGAGGTAATTTTTATGGGTTATATCTTCCAGATCCCTGTTACCGTGTTAATCGACTCACGTGTTGCACATATAATGAATGGGATTAATTTATTTTTGAAAATAATTCATTTCATGAATATTGTGCATATACATACTTCAACAACAACAACAACATCCAAGCCTTAATCCCAAAAGAATTTGGAGTCGGTTAACATGAATCGATCTATGATATCGACGCCAAACAGAGAGAAGGACAGGGGGAAGAAGTAAGATAAAACGGATAAAATAAAGATAAAATAAATACTAGTATAAGATAATAGTAACATGAGAATATAAGAAAGATAAAAGATGATAAAATAAAAGAGCATAAAAAAGTTAGAAGATAAAAATAACATAAGAAGATAAAAGAAAAGAGAGGAAATAGCATCAATCATCCACACGGATGTGCATATACAAACTTATTGTATAAAAGTTAAAATATGAAATAGCATTATATTAGAGTACATGTATGATAATTGTTAGAGATATACTACAAACGGTAACCTCCAAGCCTTAGTCCCAAAAGAGTTTGAGGTTGGCTGACATGAATTGACACATGAAAATATGAAATCGGAGCTAAAAAGATAAGAAAGATAACAAGATAAGATAAGATAAGTATAAGATAAATCAAAAGTGGTCCTGATTAAGCTAAAAATCGGAACCTTCCCCTCTGGACGCCCCCCTTACCTAAGATTCGCGATGCTTTAAAGGCGTTAATGTTCGCCCAACCCTTCTCGGTTAGTCTTCTTAAATCAAAAGCGGTCCTGATTAATTTCAATTCCGACATAGATTTCCATCGTTTTTGGGAAAAAAACACCTGGGATGTTTTTGGATCTAAGATGGTTGTTACTTGATGGACCTCATCCTTCTCTGTCGATCGGGATTCCCCTATCGCACCGGTATGGGTTGCTCTAGAAGGGCTTCCCATCCATCTGCATGATGTACGTGCCCTGAATTCCATTGCTACAGTTCTTGGAAAACCTATTCGTATTGATGTCCCTACTGCTAATTTCTCCAGACCGTCTGTAGCAAGAATATGTGTTGAAATTGACATATCTCAGGAACTCCCCAATTATATTTGGATTGGAAATGGTAAAAATGGGTTTTTACAGACAATTGTCTATGAAAATTTACCTGTCTACTGCCATAAGTGTTCTCGGTTTGGCCACAAATTGACTGGCTGTTCTTGGGCAACCTCAATTTTGGGGCCTAAACCAAGGAATTTGGCTAACGACTACCACTAATGCTGTGGTTCCTGCTCCTAGTTATGATTCTACTGCTGATAAGGCTAATGCTGCCCAGGTTGTTTCAGCACAGCCTGGAATCAGTGCCTTACCTGGACTCTTTGCTGCTTATATACCCTAGACCTCTGCTTCTCTTGGTGTTGATCCTGTTTTTACAGGTGGTAGTGGTTCTGATTGTGTTGCCCCGGTAAACACATGAATTGATAGTTGCTCTGTAAAGTTTGATGCCCAACAATCTGTTATTGGTACACCATTACCAACTAGTGAGGCCCCTTGTGATAATATTGTCTGCAGCTATTCAAACTGGAATTCCTGATAAAACCACTGCTATTCTGAGTGATGCAGTTGTTTACACTGATACCTCTGTTGTTGCTTCATTATGTGCCCCTGATACCTCTTTTTTTGTTAATTCAGAACACCCTGTTGCAGTCCCTAATGCTCTTGTTGCACCTGCTGATACTTATACAACATCTTCTGTTGATAATTCTGATAATTCTGATAAATTTATGGCTGTCCCTATTGCTCTTGTGGCCCCAGCTGTCCCATATGCAGTTGTGGCTCCTGATGATTCTGTGGTTAATAAAGAAGTAGCTATTACTTCTGCTGCTGCTCTTAATGCTCAAAATTCTGCTCTAACCACCCTTAATGATGCTACAACAGTCTGTCATGCACCTGCTGTGACTTTTGATGCCCCTACTGCTCCTTTTGATGCGAACATTACTCATGCTACTGTCTCTTGTGTCCCTGTTTTGGATGCCAATCCTGAAGTGACACAAATTGCAAGTGAAACCATTAAGCCAAGTTCCTTTTCAATGGTTTCAGCTCCTTCTGCAGTGTTGTCTTTCAATGCTGCCCACCGGCCCTTGGATGTTGATAAGGATGAACCCCCGGTGGCTACCCGTTCCGTGGCGGTAACCGTGGGTGTTCATCCACTGGTTAAACGTAATGATGATGCCAATGATTGCCTTGAGGACCGAACAGGAAATGACGAGACCCTCTCTGATCCACCACTTAAAAATACAGTTACTACGCTTGCCACACTACTGTCCGGTGATGAATCTCTTTCTGAGGACAGTCAATTACTAACCTTTTCAGTTTCAGGTCACCAAGACAAGCACCCAGCGGAAGAGGAACTCCTCGACGGACTTACTCCACACTTACCACCACAGGAAGACCTAGACGGCTTTACTATAGTGAAGGCAAAGAAAAATAAAGGCAATTGTGCCACGCCCCAAAATGCAAATCCGGAACCCAGACAACTATTCTACGAGGTGGGCTACACATCACACCCGATGATCACAAGAAGTCAATCCAGACGCCCGCAAGATGAAGATGACTACTACATTTACCCGGTTGATGCAAGGCTGGACTCTCCACACAAACTGGCTACGACACTCGCACGACACAGGTCCTCCAAACCGGAAGCAAAAACTTATCAACCATATCTCTGAAAGGCTATTCAGTTCCATAACAGATATAACAGACCCATTTCGTCTACAGTCGGATACCCTCAAAAAAACTTCGACCGTTAAACCCTTGTTTTTTATCATCTTTATGCTTTTTCTTATGTGTACCGTTCCTTAAACTTTCTTGTAATCTACTTAATTTTAATAAATTTGGGTAGTGTTCCCCGGCGCTCCCGCCACCACGTGTGGTTATTTCCGGAAAAAAAAAGATAAGTATAAGATAAAGATAGAAATGTTAAGATACAAAGGACAAAAAATATAAGATAAAAATGATAAAAAATAAAGAACATAAGAAAGATAAAGAAGATAAAAGGATAAAAAATTGGAAAAGAGATCAATCCTTCATACAAATATTCTTCCTCCACTTTGCGCTCTCCATAGTCATACTCATTCAGTCCAAGAAGAAGCATATCACTCTTGACTCTTTTAATTAATGTTTGTTTGGGTTTTCCTCTCCCTCTCCTCCCCGCTTCTTCTCCGTACCTCTCAACTCGTCTTACAAGTGCATCACTAGATCTTCTACGCATATGACCAAACCACCACAATCGAGACTCCCGCATGTTATCTTCTAAATGAAATGAAAAGAATCCAGCAAGGTCCAATAATATCTCCAAAACTCTAAAACTTAAAAAACAAGCAAGAAAGCTGACACTTACAGAGAGAGAATCAGAGATAGGGTTCAGGATAACGGTAGTAAGACCAGATACAAAGTGAGCTGCTTTACTCCTTAACGACGATTCTTCTGCTGCTCCTATGAAGGCGAACGCTTTTCTTCTCGTCCTCCCACTTCTCTGCCCGTTTTCGTGCTTTGAATTTGTTTCCAAGTCAGCAGTTACCCAAATTACTGTTAATCTCTTTGTGATTGGGTTTAGTCGATTGCCATGCTTCAACACACAATTTGACCTCTAGAATATGCCCACCTCTTTGTGATTGGATGGACTGACTATTGCTTTAAGTGCGCCATTTTGCTTTATCCGATCATATTTCCAAACCAAAAAATGTGAGTATTTGGCTCCATTGGAAATGATGGAAATCATCATAAGTTGCAGAGTTAAATATTTAATTATTATGGTCAAACATACAGAGAAAGAAAGTAATCTTAGTTAGCATTTAGCAATGGATAAACCCAAAGGTGCTCCTTGTAAGTGATTCAATCATGGCTTCAAAGCCTTTAATGATGTGTAACTGATTCAATCTGAACAATGTGATGCTTCTCATCAAGTGTTACACTCCTGATAATTTCATTTGCTTCAAGTGGATCGTATTTAGTTGATAATCTTGGTTTTGTTTTTTTTCCTCTTACAGTATGATTTCAAAGTTGTTGCACTTACTATATAATAGGGCGCTCAAGGAAATGGTGGTATCCATGACTCTTCTCCCTGTCCTTCTAAAGATCCAACCGTACGTGAAGTTGCAGTTTCAATACCAGGCTATTTGTCCAAGATGGTTCCGTTTCTTTTCTATTTAGACTTCACTTTGTTCTTATAATGCTTGAAAGTTACTAATGGTATGTTTTGTAAAGCGAATGGTATGTTTGTAAAGCGATTAGGAGAAGAAACTTAGAAAGAAACAAATATAGGCTTTTGGGCATTAAAAAAGCTGTTGGTGTAAACGTAAAGATGTATGTATGGTGTTAATGAGAATTTTATGAAATTATTACCCATATAATTCCTCCGTTCTTTTTTAATTGCAACATTCACTTTTTCAAATTTATCGATGCAAAATTTTGATTGTCATTATGTTTAATTCGATATTAGTAAAAAAAAATGTTTATAAAGCTTAGTAGAGTATGTGAATAGTGTATAAATTGTAATGTTCCAATGAATATGATACGAAGGATATTACTCCCTCCGTCTAAAAAAGGTTGGCCAAAGTTGACTTTCACGTGGATTAATAAAGTAAAAACCGTGTGGTTGAAATTTGTACAGAGGAGAGAGAATTAATTTTAGCCACATTCCTTACTTTAAATGGAAATGGCAAATCTTTTTGGGACATCCAAAAAAGGAAATTTGGCCAACCTTTTCGGGACGGAGTGAGTATATAAATTGTTGGGTAATCTTCCAATATATACACACACACATACTCTCTCTGGTTCTTAATTAAGTTCCTGGTTTGACTTCACACATATTAAGAAAATAAATTTACGGAGGGGTAAATTTTACTGTAAAGTACACTGTTGTGACACTGTTTGACACTGTTTTGCATTGATTTGACACTGTTTTGGTGTAGATTTGTTTGCCAAGTAAGTAAGTGTGAACTTGTTTGGAACATCCAAGAAAAGAAAGTAGGAACTTAAATAGGGGACGGAGGGTGTGTGTGTGTGTGTGTCTATATATATATATATATATATATATATATATATATATATATATATATATATATAGGAAAAAGATCTTGTCCATCCTGATGGACGGGAGGCGTCATCCGGTTGCCGTCGTTTTGGGTGATTCCCTGTGGAGTTTTTTGATGAATTTTTTTGACCATGTTCCTCATCAAGTCTATTTTATCCACAAAAAAAATCAGCTAAAAATTCAATCGAAAATACAATCAAATAAATTTTAGAAGATAACTGCGTTTTACTCATTTCAGTTTCACTAAATGCACATTCATTTTCACGGAATACAATTTAACGATCAATGTTCATTCTCATTTCTGTTTTAAGATCATTTTCTCATTTGAACATAATTGTGTGTGTGTGATGGTATAATTATCCCAACCATGAGGTAAATATTGATTGGGTTAACACAGATGAAAATTGGTTGGAGCTTAATGTGTGTGGTAACTATGGACAGATAATGATAAGGTATAAGGAGAGTTCGTACGTGGCGACCACACACGGGCTACAGACCGTACATAGCGACTATGGATGCAAGCTAGTAGAAGACCAGGGAGTACACAGTAGCCCTGGATGCTATGGTGAGCTTTTTCAAAGAGCTTGTCCATAGTGACCATGGACGCAAGCAAGTAGATAAAGAGCAGACAAAGTCACAAAATTGAACAAAATCCTCAAAAATAGTTGCCGGAGAAAGGAAAAAACGACAATTGCCGCCAATTTGCCGGTGCCAAGAAATTTCAATGCAAGTTAAACCAAATTTCATTGCCGATGCAGAACCAGGGAAGAGGAACCTACTTTAAAAAAAATCCTCCATTTTTAGGGAAGTTTTCACGGTTGCGGACTTACGGTTTCATAAGGGTGTTGTCAACTCCCAACGGAATAGAACCATAGTTTTGAAAATGCAAAATAAATGAAGGGAAACATTTTCAATCCCTCAAATAGTACCCATATTGGAACTTCGTACTAATCATTTTGAGTTTGTAAATGCCACCCCTCAATTTCTGAGGTGTTGTAAATTTGGTCTCATCGTCAAAGCTAAACTAACTTCGTTAACATTTATAACTTTTGGCACAATTAGGGTTATAATTTCAGACACAATACAAAAATAATATGTAGTACTGTTTTAAAAAAATCACACTAATAATCTTTGTCTCTAATGTTTACTACAGATAAAAAAATGCCGGTCATAAAATCCAACTTTATAAGAAATCATGTCTGGAAAAATGAAAATTCTCATACTATAAAAGTATGGCAGAGATAAAACATGTTTTCAAACAAGTTTAAAAAAATAGGAAAAAGAGTCAAATAAGTCGTTTTACTATTTCTAATCTGTCACTTAAATCTTTGTACTAAAAAAAGTACGTATCATATAAGTACACCTATTTTAAAAAATTAATCAATTTGACTATTTAATCAGCTTTTGACATGCAATTGCAAGTTTTTAATATTTAAAAACTCTAACAAATTGTTACAATTCGAAAAAATTTATACAAAAATTGTGAAAATTTTCACAATATCAAAGTCAATATTTTTGAATTTTCTATTTTTACATATATACTATTTTTTATATTATTTTTAGATTATTTATTCAAATTTATATGAATTTTGTAAGATTTATCAATATCCCTAATTTAACTTCAAAAAATATACCTGCTATAGCAGGTCAAATGGCTTGATTAATTGTATTTTAAAAGTTTGTGTACTTATATGATTTTTTTTTAAGTAGAAGGGCTTAAGTGATAGATTTGAAATTGTAGGAGCCTAGGAGGGTGTATTTGATTCTTTTTCCAAAAGTTTATAGATTTGTACACATTATCAAATTCATTCATATTAAGAGTTTTTTCCTATATAATGTTAGGCCACGGGAAACATTGTTAGTCCAAAAATTCAATTTTATAGAAACTAATGTATGGAAACAGAAAAAATATTTTGAAAGTGCCACCAAATAGCCTAATTTTTGTACACGTTTTCAAATCACATTGTGTGCACTAAAAATGCTACTACCTCTGTCCTGTTGGAAGGTTCTCATAGCAAAACAGCACGGTTATTTAGGCAATAATTAAATAAAGTACTTCGAGTATATTTTGAGAAATAATTTTAATAGGTATATATTATAATGTAGTTAGTATTGATAATTGTGATGTTATAAATGTATTTGATGGAGTATATGGACCAGGGACCCCCGGCCCACAGACTTCTACTATGGCACAAGAGGCCCAAGAAGCACAAGAGGCCCAAAGAACAACGGCTGAAGTATCAAGAAGCCCACGGTGCACATACGGGTGCCTTCGGCCCCATGGCCGAGGGCTCCAAAACCTCACAAGACAACTGATTTTAGGCATACAAACCTACTGGGAGAAGACGACGGAAATCAGGGAGCCTTCGGCTCATGCACGTCTTCGGCACTTGGGTAGCATTCGTCTACATAGAGCCCCCAGCCACAAGGGAGCCTTCGGCTACAGCACAAACGTCGAAGATTCCCTTCGGAGACAAGCAACAACCGCATTTAATGCAGCGTCACATCCACCCACCGCATTTAATGCAGTGCACATGCAAATGTCGGTACCACCCCGATTGAGGTGACCCTCGGCCGTCAGATATTCGACACGTGTCCCTGCTTAGCATTTATTACTGCTATAAATAGCAGCTCATTCTCCATTGTAAAGCATCACAAGTTTCTATATTCGAACACACACTCTCTCTCTCTTACTTATTGCTCTGACTTCTCTCTAGGTTATTCACCGTGATAACCCCTCGGATAAGCTACCCCCCGGGCACGCTATCCATCATTTGGTGCTCTCATTGAGACGTCGAAATTAGGGAATCAGGGATTTTAGGCATACAAACCTACTTGGAGAAGACGTCGGAA